ATAAAAAAAAAAAATTATATTGTATTATATTATATTATATAAATGTGTGTGCTCATAAGTTTACATACCTTTGTCAGAACTTGCATAAGGCTAGCCATTATTTCTGAACCAATTCCACAAAACAGCCCACTTACAATAGGCCAAGTAGCACCTAGAAAGCTCAAAACTTCTGGAATGAAATCCTTTGGAGTGAAAAGACCAAAATGTAACTTTATGGTCACAACCCTAATTGTTATATTTGGAGAGGAGTCAACAAGGCCTATGAAAAGAAGCACACCATCCCTACTGTGAAGCATGGAGGTGGATCTCTGCTGTTTGTGAGCTATAACGATACAGGGAATTTAGCCACTAACTCTCCCTGTAACCCTGATATAAATCCACCCTAGTCCTCCTAACTCTAACCCTTCCTGTAACCCTAATCCTTCCTGTAACCTTAACACTGGTGTTTCCTGTAACCCAAACATTACCCCTCCCTGTAACCCTAACACTTACCCACCCCAAAACCCTAATACTAAACCTTCCTGTAGGCACTAACCCCCAATCCTACCTTATTTAAGCTTAACCCCTTGTTTACATACCTACCTCTTCACTAAAAATGAACCTTATTTTGCAGAGAGATACCAACACCAAAGTCTCAGCACCAAAATCAACTGCTTAATGGAAAATGTTCACACAGAGGTAACTCTTAAACGACTCTTCAGTCAGTTTTACACAGAACTTTACCAATTCTAACACAATTCAGCCACCCCAAGGCTATTTCCTTTCTGCTCTCTAAGTCTTTCTTCTGCATATGTTTACTGTGTTTTAATAAAGCTATAGATTTTTCTTCCGCTTTCAAACTTTAATGATTAAGTTCTCTGGCACTTTAATTTATTCCTGATCTTTTTTCTTTTTGTTATGTTGTTCTGCAAAAGTAGTTTGTCTACAAGCTGCGTGTCTCTCTGCATGCTGTTTTGCAGTTAGCATTAAAATTCAGCTCAATGCGTCAGCTTGTGTAGTGAAAACCACTGAAGCGTTCCCTTTACTGGAGAAGGTACCCTTTTCCAGCCACATTGAATATTCTAGTGGACATGGTTATTAAACCATTAATATGCTCATTCGAGTTGAAGGAACCAGTTTCAGTCTATGGGATTCTTTTTGTAAGCAAATAGTCTTCTTGTTGCTAATGAAGTTAAGAAGGAACTCTGACCTGAACAAAAAAAACCAATGAAACTGTATGTAGACTTAAAGGATGTCTATCCCTAGAATTAAAATGTGACAACAAAGGCTAGCTCTAAAGAAGACTTACAGGGTTATTCACAAAAGGGTGAAGAGTTAGGAGAAGGGAACAATCTAGGCCAACGTAGCTGAACTGGAAAAATCCTCCAATTCAGCTCACTTTCCAGTTCAGCTATGTTATCCTAGATTGTTCACTTCTCCTGCCTTCTCCAAACTCTTCACCCTTATGTGAATAACCCTGTTAGTATTCCCCTGTGCCATCGCATAAAAGAACACAGTAGTGACTGACATGGGAGCAGGTGGGTGGAGTGCAGATTGGGACCAAGCATGCAATGCTTACAGCAGTGTAGGAAGGTTCCTCAGCAAGCTTCAGCTCTTCAGCAGAGCAGTTGGACATGTGAGTATTAGGTCTATTCCTTTAAGGCAGGCATTATTTTAAAATGTCATGAAAAATGTAGCAGCACATTGCCACCGTTCCCAAAAAGCCTTATTGATCCAAATGGAAAGAGAAGACTCTGCTTGGATGCTCCCACTCACATTTCACTCAACATATGAAGGATCCAGGGGAGACATGAACATCTAGATTAATTCATTGTTTTGAGAATGTAGGATATATGCGGTTTGCTGGTACATTTTGTCAAGGCTACTATCCATGTGGGGAGGAGGGATGAGTCCTAGAGTGGAATCTGGACCCGTTGGCCATAGGCAGAAGCTATTTGATGCTTGAGAGCAGTAAGATTTTTGCTCATCAAAGTGCCACTATGCCATCTGTAATCACAGTTTTCATACTACCTCATTCTCGGTTTTGGTAATCCTGCGGTGATCTGGATTGCCTTCAGGCAAGATACCTGGGGCCACAAGTAAAATGAGCCCCAAAATGTCACTTTAGTGGTACAGACAGTACTGGTAAAGACCAGACCTGCATCAAGCAGCTGACCTCACATGTGTATGCACCAATTAAAATAGCCAAAAGATGATTCAGACTTGCCCAGCTATGATGATAAGGAATTGTCATGTACAGTTGTTAATTTTTTTTTGTGTATTTATACCCAAAACTTTTTTTTAGTTTTGGATAGAATGAGAAAAGGTTAGAACCAGGTTTTTGCTGCCATTTGGGGCTCTATTAGAGATTTCTCCTCACTCCATGTTTCGTGGAAAAAACAGAAAGTGAGGAAAAATCTGCAACAGGCAAATACGTAACATTAGAAAGCTAAGTACATGCATAAGATACACTAGATCTCCTATTATTAATATCCAGTGTTGTGGGAGAATGTTTCATTGATCAAGCTGACTTGCTTTGGTGAGGCTGCTCACATGTACCAAAGCACCCCCAAGAGGAGGCGGGTCTTGAGAAAAGTCCGGCACCAATGGTCAAAGAGACCCAATAGTATTTTATCGGTAATCAGTAGAATGCGAAAGCCAACTTGTAACAGGGCTTATGTATTATATGACCTCAAATGTAGCTGGACCTAGTTGGTTTGTAATTATACATTTAGGTATATAGTAAGATTCTGCCACCACCAGTTTGTGCAGTGTTGACTCTTTGACCATTGGTGTGGCACCTTTACTGCTTCTTACATAGTTGAACAATTTAAAGCTGCCAGAGGTTCTATCCTTCTCTTGCTGTACTTAAAAAAACATTTTTAGTTTTGTCTGGGTTGCTGTTAGGGAGATTTCTCCCTGTCTTCCTGTCCTGTGGAAGGAAGTGAAGGAATCTCTCCAAAGGTGTCTCCAATGGCAAAAAACCCCACTGTATCTAAAGCTAAAAACAAACAAACTGTAGGCTGTAGATACACTTAATTATCCCATATGTGCATGGCAGTTACAACCCTGAATTGCACACTGCGGAAAGCCCCGGTGGGCAGGGCACTATTAGCCATGGCATGGGGCACCCACAAGGCACCACCATTTCATGGGTTTGTAATAATACAGCGCAAAGGGTAGAAACCACAGGAGCCAAGATTAGGGTAAAGATGGCAGACATGAGGGCAAGGTTGTAGTCTCTAGAAGTAGGTACACTTGGTTCTTTGAAGATTTTTTGTGACATTGAGAATCTGTGTGTCTTCATTAATAACTGATGACATTGTATGTATGCCAGGAAACAATTGATTACTCACACATGGGCTTGAGCTGGCCTATCAGTTCCTCCTTGGTCCATTTCGCCCACTCTTTCTTGTCTGTGTTGATGGAACAGAGAATTGGTCCACATGGCTTTCCGCAGTCCTCTATTGCCGGGACGTTCAAGTAATGCACCAATACGATGTCAGGATTCTAGGAAGGAAACACAATGATAACATTATTTCAACGGCACCCATACAACATCTGCCATGAAAGAGATTGGCTATGGAAAAAAGCATTTAACCTTTAGAGGCATTTCCACTTTAAGCTCTCTCAAATTTAGAAAAGTACACCACCTCGGCTGTACCATACACAACATTCATTCATCCTATCACAACCACCTATGCAGAGGAAAAAGAACTGAACTGCACCACAGAACCATTTGTCAAGGGTATGACTTGCCACAGATTCAAGACACAACTTTACTACGAGCAAGATAGCATTGTTATTGGGTAGAAGGAACCTTTACAGTATTTGTCTTCCCTATGCTGTGATCTGCCACTCTTCTTCCATACCCAGTCTGGATGCTAATTTATGGAGGAAGCAGCATTTGTTTGGGGAGAGGGAGACTCAAAGAACCCCTAAAAAATATTGCATTCCTGTAATTGTTTTGTTGCTTACTTAAAGCGCATCTGAAACTAAGAACAGAAATGTAATATATTGCAACTTATCCGTCCTTTGATGTGTTTACATTAGTTTTCTTTTTTCAGATATCCTTTTAAGTCCATCTGAAACTACATGTCAACCTAAAGCAGGCCATTCACTACTAGAATTTCAATCAGTAGGACTTGGCCGAAACTTGGCCCCTCAGGGCCACCCTGTTCAATTAAAGTAAATTTTTCCATTGAAAAATGGACAAACATTGACTTCAGCCAATTCCCTGTAGCCACTGTCCAGTATTCTGCACATGGGTACAATAGACTGGTGGGGAAAATTAGGGGAGGGGATTCCACCATTCACATTGTTTACCAAGGATTGGGGAACCAAGCATACTTTCTCATCCAGCCCGTGGGCACAAGAAAAAATGGCCGGTGTGTGGCCGGCTTAAGACTACCCTGTCCACAAGGTGACAACACCGCTTTACAATCTCCCTGCCGAAATAACAGTCTTGTCAGGATAGTCCCTTTTGTGAGGCAGCCATAGGGTCACATGGGGGGGGGGACTTTCCAGCCACAACGTCCCAGGTTGCTAACAGCTCTTAACAACCTGCGACACTCTGGCCGGCATTCCTGCCTAGCTCACTGACACCACTGATTTCCAGGAGCTAAGCGGGACGCTTTGGCTCATGTCCAGCTCTCGGCAACCAGTGATGTCAGTGGGCTGGGCAGGACGCCAGACAGAGGTACCATGCACCATCACCCCCCTGGTTACATTGACCGCCAACATCCACCACCCCAGCCCCCCGTAATATGCACTCCCAATTCCCTCCCCCACTAATGCGCACTGCCAGCCAATTACCCCAAAGGCAGAAACAAATTTAGGGATGCTCCTGAGTGTTGTCATCCTGTTATAGAAAGTGGAAAAAAAGGAGACCTACTGGCAGGATCAACAGGTAATGAAACTTTGTTACATGGGGACTCAGAAAAATTCAAACTGCTGTGTTAATGCTATTGACAGACTGCATCATACTGTAGATATCATTTATCATTATGTCCATAGGTACCCTTTAAGAGATGGGTTACAAAATGGCAGCCTGTATATATATTTATATAGCTATAGCTGCCCTTAATGGTTCTCCATGTCTTGCGCCCACTCACACCGCGCTTTGCGGAAGAGATCCAAGATTTAGAGCATGCAATAGAAAACACCACCTCATCATTTTCCAAATGACTTCTCGCCAAATTCTCAGCTAAAATTATAGATAATTATTACTTTGCGTTAACCCCTGACTACCCACTTATCTTAATTCCTCCGCACTCACTTTTTAACGAAAATAGTGATCCACCATAATTATTTCCCACTGACATGGGCTTCATTAGCACAAACACCACCGCGAATGTTTACTGTCTCTGAATTAAATCCGTTTAATAAGCTGGCACAATAATCGTTTATACTCGTTGGTTGCCACGGCGACGGCGGGCAGGGGGGGATTTAATAACAAACGGGAGCGCGCGGTTTCTGAAGCAACGGCGAATTATTCAGTGTGACAGCCTGCTGCTATTTGAAATATTATATGACAGATCAATATGAATCAGTAGATCGGAATAAATAAAACAAAACAGTTTTCGGGGAGGTAGGGGGCGGGGAGGGGAGGGGGTGGACGGTATTATGAGAACGCCACGTTTTAAAGGAAAACTTGCCGTTGCTGACCTCATTCTAGAGATGCTTGCTTGTCGAGTGTCATGTTGCTCCCCTGGCTTTAATGAATATCTAAAAAATTTATATAGTACAGTTTTACGGTCCTTAGATGTGTTGGCTGCATTAGGGTTGTCACCTCAGCATGAATAGAGGCGAAGTCTTCCAAAGGAGACACCTGTTCCGGTGGGGATTTCCTCTCACTTTGTAGAGATTGCCTCTCACTTCCTGTTGTGTCTTTTGGACAGGAAGAGAAGGGCAATCTCCCCAACTGTACATAGACAGCTAAATACAATGAGCAAAGGTTTTAATTAGGGATGCACCTACACCGGTTTTTCGGTATTGAGTACGAGTACCAATATATTTTTTCCCGAAATACTGATACTGGAAGTCCCATTAAGGATGCCGGGCAGCGTGCAATGACTCACCAGGTGACGAGGAAGCATGAAGCCGACTTTCTGGCCCAGCTCCCCCACCCTTTGCCCCCCTACATAACCTTGATGTAGCAGCCAGGGGAGAAGAGAAGGGGAATGCTATAGAGAAGAATTTTGTAACCTTTTTTATGTCGTGGCGCTCTTTAAAATGATGCAAAATCTTGAGACACCGCAGGCTAAAATGTAATGGAATTTAAAGGGGCAGCCCCCTCAAAAAAGTAGGGGTTACCCCCTTACATCAAAGTCCCCCCTTTAAATCAGGAACCCCCTTTCAGAAGCCCTATTACATAAGATTCTCCCCTTCACGAAAAATGGGTGGAAGGGCGGGCTGAAAAATTTCGAGACACCACTAAGGAAGCCAAAAGGCACCCAAGAGTGCCACGGCACCCAAGAGTGCCACGGCACCCTGGTTGATAAAAGCAGCTATAGAGCAGGGGTAGGCAAACTCCAGCCCACCAGCTGTGGTGAACTACAAATTCCATCATGCATCTGCCTCTGGAAGTCATGCCTATGGCTGTAAGAGTGTTGCAATGCCTCATGGGATTTGTAGTTGCACCACAGCTGGAGGGCAGGAATTTGCCTACCCCTGCTATATGGTGTCACTTGAGTGAAAGTTTTGGGTCTGCTGGGGCTGCCAGCAGCAGTCTTGGGGCATTTGGAGGTCAAACAAGGGAGGCTTTTAAAGGAAAAAAATCAATAACATGCATACTATACTTTAAGCGCTAGTTTACACCATCCACAGTGCGTTCCGGCCCCAACACACTGGATCGCATTGAGGCAGGCTCACTTTGTGTTGGGGTGAGAGGAGGGGGCGTGGCGGTGCATTGAACTTAATGGCACCGCAGCCACGCCCTCCGGCCGTAGTGCGATGGGCCCCATGGAAATGCGTGGCACATTAGTGTCTGTGTTCTGGTCAGAAAAAATGCTGACCGGACCGCAGGCTGCGGTGCCATTGAGTTCAATGCACCATCACGTCCCCTCCTGCCCCAAAACAAAGTAAGCCGGCCGCAATGCGATCCAGTGCGTTACGGCCCCAAACGGACCGGAACACACTGTGGCTGGTGTGAACTAGCTCTTAAAATATACTGGAAGATTGTTATTTATATGAATGTGTCCTTTTAATATAAATATATCTGATGCTTGGTCCAGATAAACTCAACCATGAGATGTCATGAATGGAAGACAGTCCTATGTGTATGGGTGCCCACAGACACCGCCAGCCGGCCACCGACGATCGCTCCGAAAGGTTAGAAAGTCTGTTTTGATTACTCTTGTTCCCCCTTGAATAGCAAATCCAAATGGCTGACACATTCCTCTTTAAAAATATATATGATTTCAAATGGCATCAATTGCTTAGAAGAGAAGAAGCATGCTTAAAGACTTAAGACAGGAACCGTCTATAAACCGCTATTAACCATTATTTGTGTTACAGACCCTAAGAAAAGCGCTTCCACTATTACCCGTCAATCCAAGAAAACGACATTTCTGCAAATGGCTGCTATTTGGAGGCCTGGATGGTACATTACCACAAGAAATGTGTTCCATAATCAGTTAAGGCATTTTGATTCATTGTTATTTCCTAAGGCAGCACACAGTCACGCCGCTGCTTCTCCCCTCGAAGGTTCGAGCGCTCTCTGTATAAATGGCAAGTAGATTGGAAACTTTTTAAGAGCACCGTTATCTCCCAGCGGCTGAACGGGCGAATTAAACAATGGCGGATTTATGGCAGGAAATAAATAAATAAATGCCGAGCCCACGTGGATAGTCTGCATTGCTCGGCAACTTTTTTTTTTTCTAAAAAATCTTAAATGTTAAAGTGTCAACCCAACTGAAAGTGATATCTCTGTGATGCCTTCACATGGTCCCGGAACCACTTGGAATATCTAGGGATTTAATTAATGTATCCAATTTGCCAACTACATACCCACCATCCACACGCTGAAAGCCCAAGTAATGTCCTGGACGCGTCTCAATATTTCATGAAAGGGTAAAATCAGTTTAATCAAAATGAACACTTTACACTTCCAAATCCGCTCTGCTCTTTTGCCATTAATTCCTTTCAAAACTACATCATGTATTTTATATGGGACAGTAAAACATGGACGATATCCATACAAACTGTATATATAGAGGCCTTGGGGTACTCAGTTTCTTAAAATACTATCAAGCAGATCAACTCATCCTGCTAATATCCTTATAGGCAGCAAATGAGTCCCCCTCTTTGGGTGGAACTAGAAACCTGTCTTTGGCTACTGATAAACCTCCAAGCTGTACTCTTGCTCCCATCTAAAATTATAAGTAATACTATAAACCTCCTGATGCAACATACTTTGTGAGTCTGTGATAACTCTAAGCCATTCAGTAAGCTAATTTTCCACATCTTCCTTTACTTCCTTTAGTGGAGAGAGAGAGAGAGAGAGAGAG